AATCCTTCCAAAAGCTTAGTGTTCGGAGCGATTTTAACATAAAAACATCAAAAAACCAATGGTTTTTCAACAAAAAAATGTCAAAATCTCATCCCGCGCGCTCTTGCGGATTCGTAGGAAACCCAACACTTTTTAAACATTTCTGTCAAACGGGCTTTTGCGAGCAACTTTTTCGAACTTCTGCGACAACGGTTGCGCACCTGCCAGGGCCATCATCCCTGTCAAATAATACCATGCGGGACACATTCGTTTTTTCTTCGCGCGCGCACGCCGAAATCTCCAAAAACCATTGGGCTTCTTAAGAATTTTAGCACCGCGCATCATAAAATCACACGAATCGCACCGTGGGTTAACAACTTCTGTGGGTTAACAAGGCTTAACAACTTCTGTGGGTGTACGAACGTAGGCTTAACAACTTCTGTGGGTGTGTACTCCACGCCAGTGTAGTAGCCACGGTCGTCCGCAGGCCACGAAGTGAAGTGTCCGAACGTCATAGGGCGGGAAGCTGGGTGTGGGTGGTGGCGAAGAGTCGTGTGGATATTTGGTAGAGCTTGCACTGCCCCCCCACAAAGTGGGGGTATTGGCTGGCGTCGCATGAAAACCCTGGCACTGGTGAGAACACTGAGCGTTCGGGTAAAGTGATTGTTGTTGTTGTTGTTGTTGTTGTTGTTATTGTTGTTGTTGTTGTTGTCGTTGTTTGTTTGTTTGTTTGTTTGTTTGTTTGTTTGTTTGTTTGTTTGTTGTTGTTGTTGTTGTTGTTGTTTTCATGTGTCAGTTTTTTGTTGGTTTGTTATTGCCTTTTGTGCGTTTTGTTTTTTGTTATTTTTGCATTGTTTTTGTGTTGTTGTTTCCTGCTTTCCTGCAACCAGCCAGCTGGTCGACGCTGCAAAATCAGGGGCACCCTCACGTGCCAGGAAGCGGGTTACGCACGACGCGACCAGGCCGAGGGATAGAGCTGGACACGCCGCACGCCTGCGGCCACGCGTCTTCTGCCGGCGCTCGGCCCTCGCGTGGACGCCACGCCTTGCCCTCCGCACGTGCATCGGGCCATGTGGCCCCCGGGCATTCCACATGTGGATCCAGCCATGTGTGTGTGTGTGTGTTCGGATGCAACTCCTGGGCGGTCAAGTTCTGACTTTCCCCTGGTCCGAAGTCTGGCTAAATTTGGCTTAATCCCGCTTGAACCTGCTTAATCCGGCTTGATCCTGGTTAATCCGCGGCCTAATCCTGCGTAGTAGCCCCCAGTGGGGCTTAATTCCCTTTAATCTTCCCGACGAAACCTCCCAGTAATTGCTTCCTAATGTGTGTGTGTGTGTGTGTGTTCCAGCTTTCCGTCGAAGAAGGAAAACGGCATAGACATGAGCTTTTGGCGCTCCAGGCGGCTCTCCTTGGCTCCGCGCCGGCCCCCCCCCCCAACGGCGCACCCCCGGCCGACCCCTGGCGCGATCCGCGCGCCATGGAGGGTGGTCCAGCGCGGATACAAGAAATCCGCGCGGAGCGCCAAAGGGTTATGTTCATTCGGAAATTGGAACATATACATTACCAGTGGCGGGCTGCTTTTCCATCCAAGTACTTTTCGAGGGTCGGGGACGACGTCGGGGTGGTGTGGTGTATACTTTTTGTCTCCGTTTCCCGAAGAAACAGCGAAACACGTATACACCAGGATCCCGTATACACCAGGATCCGCTTTCTTGTGCACATTTCACTGCAGGGCCGGAAAAAAGCGGCGGTGTATAGAGTTCGGTTCCCTCCTCTGTTAATGTTGTTTTTCTCCTTCTACATCTGGCAGGTCGATTCGATAGCAAATCATGGGAGCCTCGTTTGCCCTCGTAATTTTAAGTCTTCAGCGTCGATCAGCGTCGATTAGCGTCAATTAGCGCCTGGGAGTGGATGATATTGCGCTGATTTAGCGTCGATTAGCGTCGATTAGCGTCGAGTTAGCGTCGATTAGCGTCGATTCATTAGCTTACGCCGCACCGCCGACCCCTTGGGACGTCTTGGAGCCCTTTTGGGGGCTTCTGGGGCTATCTTGGGTCGATCTTGGAGGCTTCTTGGGCTGTTGTGAGCCTCGTGAACGGCCAAGAGGCGAGTGTGCTAAACATAAACGTTTTCCCTAGGGAATGGGACGATGTTTGCTTCTTGAGGGTCTCTTGGGACGCCTCCTGGTGGCTTCTTGGGGCGTCTAGGGGGCCCCTGGGGCCGTCTGGAGGCAATCTCGTGCGTCTTAGAGCGGTCTCCTGACGAGTCGTATCCCTCTTGGACCGTCGGGGGGGCCTTGTGGGATCCTCTTGGCCCATGCTGGGGCCGTCCTGGGGCCCTCCTGGGCCGTTCTGGTGGCTTCTGGGGCCCTCTTGGCGCCCTCTTGGGCGGTCTTGGGTCGATCTTGAAGGCTTCTTGGGCTGTTGTGGGCCTCGTGAACGCCCAAGCAAGAGGCGAATGCGCTAGAAAATTACGTTGTCCATTGAGAATGAAACGTTTTTTGCTTCTTGAGGGCCTCGTGGGACGCCTCCTGGTGGCTTCTTGGGGCGTCGTAGGGGCCTCTGGGGCCGTCTGGAGGCAATCTTGAGCGTCTTGGAGCGATGTCTCGACGACTCGTAGCCCTCCTGGACCGTCCAGGAGGCCTTTCGGGACCCTCTTGGCGCATTTTGGGGCCGTCCTGGGGCTCTCCTGGGCCGTTGTGGTGGTTTCTGGGGACCTCTTGGGGCTCTCTGAGGCCGTCTTGGAGCCCTCTTCGGGGCCTCTTGGGCTGTCTGGGGTCGATCTTCGAATGCTTTTTGGGCCGTTGTGGGCCTCGTGAACGCCCGAGAGGCGAATGTGCTAAACAAATACGTTGTCCCTCGGGAATCGGATGATTTCTGCTTCTTGAGGGCCTCGTGGGACGCCTCTTGGTGGCTTCTTGGGGCGTCTTAGGGGCCTCTGGGGCCGTCTGGAGGCAATCTTGGGCGTCTTGAAGTGACCTCTCGGCGACCCGTAGCCCTCTGGGACCGTCCAGGGGGCCTTTTGGGACTCTTGGCTCGTTTTTGGTCCCCCTGAGGCTCCAAGGGCGCGGCTGACGCATTTGCCCTTCCCCCCCCCATCCCTCCAAACCGGCCGGAACGGGCTCCCGGGGGAGGGGTTTGGGCAGGGGGAAGCATCTCACACGCCGTGACCCCAAGTTGTCGGCGGATTCTGCCCAGGGAAATGTGTAGTCTGAAAAACCATTATCTCATTTGCAAGCTTGGCTCTACTCAGTTCCACAATCGTCTCCATCTGACGCGAGACGAGGATGCTGTGCATTCAATGCGTTAGACACTTCCATCCTTCAGCTTGCGCTTGGATGCATTCAGGATCTCTACCTTCGTACATGATGTCAAACATAGGGCATGGGATGCAGCATTGGGTGCGCTCGTGACTGTTGCATGTGTGATTATCGCCACTGTCTTTGAAACAAACTGCCCCAATGCCGATGAAAGAAAGCCCCAATCAGAATCAGCAGCTGCCTCTTTGGCGATCTCCAGCACGCTCACGGCACATGTAATGTTCCTCCAGGGACCAATCTTCATCTGGAAGTAGAGGACCAACTACTGGTGCTGCAGGGATCCCTGGGACCACCGAATACGTTAGCACTTGGATCGAGTTACCTGCGGCTGTCAATTGAATCTGCACTTGGCGGTGTGGCTTGATGGCCCACGTCGCATCGATGGGCGCTTTCTGAAACAATCGCGTCGCTGCCGCAAACAAACCAAACAAACCAATAGTACTACATACTCTTGCAGTTCTACACGTTACTAACGTAGGTGCTACAAACTTCTTCATGAACCTTCGTCGCCGACGCGAAGACATCTTTATCCTTATCGGCGGGCGTGATGAACATCGGCGCCGTCATTGGCCCTGCCGTCGTCATCGCCACCATCGTCACCATCGTCGCTACTCTCATAATCGCGTCTACCATTGTCGGCGTCGCCATGACACCGTGCCCGCCCAAGTTATCGATTCGCACTGAAGTGCCCGCCTGGAAGTGCCCAGCGGCCAGCGTCGCCGCGGCCGCGTCGGTCCCGCCGAACTTGCTGGTCGCTGCGCGCGCGAGCATGCGCGGGCTAGCGCGGCCGCAGAAATCCACCAGCCAACGCCAAGCACTCATTGCAATCGCCGCCGCATGGGTTTTGCAGATCAAGTTGCGGGTGGGTGGGTGGGATGTTTGCAACAGCGTGGAATGTGTCATTTCACTGGTAAGAATCAATTGCACGACGTAGGCTGTGCAGCAGCTATTACGCCACATCGATTGCACCACGTCGATTAGACGGCATAAGCAGCACAACCCAGATTGACTTTTGACTTATGTGAAAGAGCGTGTTCTACCGCTGCTGGGGGAAAACCGGGGGGGGGTCAGTGCCGGTTCGAACCCCTCCCCCCCCCCCTCCGGAAAACCGGGGGGGTCACTACCGGTTCGAACCCCTCCCCCCCCTTAGTTCATCATGAAAAGGGGGGGGTTCACTACCGGTTCGAACCCCCCCCCCCTCGAACTCGAAAGCCGGGGGGGTCACTACCGGTTCAAGCCTTGCAGGATGTCAGAAAACGAACATACGCGCAGTGTAGACACGTAAAACTTGCGGCATCACTTGCGGGTTACCTATAAGATAACGCGCACTGCGCAATCAACTCACAACGGGATCGTTTGAAGAGAATACATCTAAATTCTGGGTGCTTTTCATATTGCAAACTCGGCGCGTTGCGTTTGACCCGCGACGCACCGAGGCCAGGCATGCGACCGCAGACGGCGCAGTTCGCCATCTTGCACGAGCGCAGGCGCGCACCTGCAGGGTCGCGGCGCTAGCTTGAGCCTGACAGCTGGGGCGCGGCGTTTGCGCCTGCGTGTGCTTGAGGCTGGCGAGAGCAGCGAGCGAGGGGCGAGAGTGACGACGACAGGATGAATGGAACACAAGAGAGATGGCCATATCGATTTTTGCACCAGTGGCGTTCGCCCCCCGCCTGGCAGCCTCGCGCGCTCAGGCCTTGTTCGCCTTCCGCAGCTCGAGCTTGGGGCGCTGTTCTCGCGCTCCAAGGAGCTGTTCTCTTTAAGGTAGTCCTCGCGGCTCTCCAGAAGCTGGTCCCTCTCCTGCTGCAGCTCCCCGTTCTCCTCCTGGAGCTGCTCGTTTGCCTCGCGGAGAAGGCGGCTCTCCAGGCGAAACTCGCTCTCAAGAAAAGCGGCGGCCGTGAGCTTCTCGGTGAGGGTCTCGCTCTCCCCTCCCTGGCTCTGCTCCTCCTGGCTCTCCTCCTCCTGGCTCTGCTCATCCTGCTTTTCCTCTGCGGTCTCGGAGTCGCTGCAGCCCTCGTCGCTGCCCTTGGTGCTGCTGTCCTTGTCCGCTTCCTGGTTCGGTTCCAGCGGCCCTGCAGCTTGAGGCGGGGCTGGCTCGTGGAGTCCTGGCTGCTCTGCCTGTGGCTCTGGCGGCGCTGGTGGTTGAAGCGGTGCTGGCTGCTCTGCCTGCGGCTCTGGCGGCGCTGGTGGTTGAAGCGGCGCTGGCAAAGCCAGCAAAGGCGGCGGCGGCGGCAGGGACACGAGTTCGCCCGTCCACCCCCTCTTCTTCTCCGTGAACCACCGCCGCATCTGTGACCACCCCTTTTCCTTCCACTTGCCGCCCCTGAAGGCCTCGCCGCCATGGGCGTTCAGCGCATGCTGCACGTTCCCGCGCTGCACGCGGATGTCACGGTCTGTCGCAGTGGCCTTTGACACGTGGACAGGCCACTGCTCTCCGGCAGCCTTGTCGCGTATCTCCTGCGCCGTGGGCGCAGGCAGGAGTAGCTCCACGCCCTGATCTGCTGCTGCGGGCGGCGCGCCGTTGCCAAGAGCGAACTGGAAGGTACCGGCCTGGCCGTCGAAGGCCAGCCTGCCATTGCATTGGACGCCGCCTTGCATCTTTGAAGTGGAATCGCGGTGCCGTAACAAGAGTTTGGCACGTCTGCGCGTTGTACTTGAGCCTCGCGTGGCGACGCTGATGACGACGATGACGCTGGAAACTAAACGTGCGACGACATGCACTACGACACGTTGGGAACAATGTTGTTGATTGCGCATGATATGGAATATATGTTAGTGCATGCCTTGGTCAATGCGGGGCCTTTGAGGCCCTGCGAGGCCCCCAAGAGGCCCAAACGAGGCCTCAAGAGGCTCGAACCACCGCCTGAGGATTTCAGCGCCGACCCAAGGTAGATTTCGTGGCGTTCGGCCCATCCCGCCACCGTGCCTGGGTTGCGGGCATGCGGCATCTTGGATGTTCGTGGGGATCTCGTGCGGACCCTCTCGGGGGGCTCTTGGAAGTGCGGACCCTCTCGTGGGGATCTCGTGCGGACCCTCTCGGGGGGATCTCGTGCGGACCCTCTCTCTCTCTCGAGGAGGAGGAGGAGGAGGAGGAGGAGGAGGAGGAGCAGGAAAGTGCCGACAGGTCTAACAAAAACCAAAAAAAAACAAACAAACGAAACAAAACAACAAAAGACCTGACAGGTCTAACAAAACCAAAAAAATCAAGACTCCGGCGAAGAATCTTGGGCGGGCCTCCACGGGGCAGCATCAGGTTTGAAATCGCTTGATTTTTTTGTTGTTTTTAGAACTGTCAGCACTGTTTTTGGTTTTGTTTGTTTTTTTTGTTTCTTTAGAACTGTTGCTATTTTCGATACATGTGCTTTACTATGATTCAATATGATTGGATCGTTTCCCCGATACGAGAACAAAGCAGAGGAGGAGAAGAGAGGAGAGGAGAGGATAGGAGGCAGGAGGAAGGAGAGAGGATAGGAGAGTGCATTTTATCAGCAGACACACCCCACGCAAGAAACACACCCCACGCAGGACGAAGGAGTGGGCCCACCTATTCCCCCTACCTCGCTGGAGCCAGGGCCAGTATAGCGTGTATCTGCCACTCCCCGCCCATTCTCTCCAGAGCGGGCACCTACCCCTCCCCGCCTCTCCAGTCGCTGGTCGTCCTTTCTTTGGCATTCCTTGGGCCCGTCCTGGGCCTGAATGGAGGTCATCTTTGGCAGCTTTGGGCGCTCTGGGGGAAATCCTGGCTGACTCGGGTGTTTTTTTCGTCCTGGGTTGTTTGGCATATGTACCTGGCGTCATTGGGCCGTCGGTGGCGGGCATTAGGGCCATCCTGGCCTGTCTGGGGCCATCTTGAGCCGACTTGTAGTGACAGCCAATGAGGATGATGAGAAGGCTTCTTGGGGCCTTCTAGCGGTCTCCTGGGGGCCTCCTGGGAGCTTCCCGACAGCTTCTTGAGGGCCGCTAGGGGGCCTCATGGGGCCTCTTGGGGGCCTCTCGGGGCCTCTTGGGCCGTCTTAGGGAACTTTCGGAAAGTATGACGCCTTCTCTAGGCCGTGCTGGTGCCCTCCTGGAGTGGTTCACGGCTGTCTTGGGGCTTCCTTCGCGGCCCCTGGGCGATCTTTGGACCCTCTTGGGCCGACTTGAGGCACCCTTGGGGGTCTCTTGGACTGTCTTGGAGCTATCTTGGAGGTCTCTTGGAGGTTTTTTTTGGCCGTCTTAGGCGGTCGGAAACCCGAACGGGCGAGAAGTTCAACACCGCTTATCAACCTAAAGACAATCAATAGATTTGGCCTCCTCAGGCTCTCCAGGAGGCCCTCTTGGAGCCCTCTTGGGCCGTCTTGGGTGCTTCTTGGTCTGCGTTGAGCTGTCTTGGGGGCCTCTCGTGCCGTCTTGGGCCATCTTGGTTTATGCTGCTCCAGCCTACTTTAGTCTCTATCACCAGAAAGAATTTCGAGCGCCCCAACAACTACCGAAACTCCAGGGTTTTCACGGGTCGGGCCCTGGAAGACACTTGCCCGACTCTGTTTCGTCATTGTTTCGACGCTCTTTTGGCACTTTTCCAGGTGCTCGAACTGATTCTCCAGGCTGACGCCACATCCGCCGACCCAATTTGTTGTGGATGGGTGGAAGACGAGTGGGCGATGAGTAGGGTGCGGGGATGAAGACGACGATGGCGACGACGACAATAGAGGGCTCATGGATAGTAGTCGGGAGGACGTAGTCTGGAGGACGGGGAGGGGGAGGAAGAGTGCAGGTTGGAGGCCTCTTGGGCGCCGTTTTGGGGTCTCTTGGGGCTCCTTTTGGGCCTCATGGGTTCGTCTTGGGGGGTCTAGGGGGACCTCCTGGGAGTTCCTGAGGGCCTTTTGGTTGCCTTTTGGATCGTGGTCCCCCTCCCGGCCCTCTCGTGGGCTCGTTTTCAGGCGGCCTTGGGCCGTGTCGGGTGCGTCTTGGGCCGTCTGGAGGCCCTCTGGGGCAATGTGGGGGCCCTCGTGGAGGCCGTTTGGGCCGTCCTGGGGCGACCTCGGGGGCGTCATAGGCCGTCTTGGAGCGTCGGACAGGTGGGAAAGCGAGTTTGCTAAACATGTACGTTTTACGAAGGAAATGGGGCCATTTTTGCGTCTGGGGACCTTGTTGGGGCACATCTTCGGGGCACCTTAGGGTGTCTTGGAGGCTGCGGAGAGCGTCTGGGGAACATCGCCGGCGTCTGGGGTCGATATTCCAACGATTCGCGGCCCCCTTGGACCGCGTGGGGGGGCTTCTTGGTGCCCTCTTGGAACATTTTGGCCTTGGCGCGCATTGTCCGGAACCTGGCGCGGCCCGGGGGGGGATCAAATTCGAGGTTTGGGGTCCCCAGGGGGGGATTCTGGGGGGGAACAATCTCACACGCCTGAGGACCCACAAGGGGTCGGCGGATTAGCGTCGATTCAGCGTCGATTAGCGTCGATTGGCGTCGATTCACGAGAGCCGACAAGATGGTATGGGTGGCTCCCATGAGTTGCCACCGAAGGCCGATGCTGCAAAATCAAGGGCACCCTCACGTGCCTGGAAGCGGGATGCACACGACGCGACCAGCCTTGGGTGAGAGCTGGACACGCCTGTGGCCGCGCGTCTTTTCCCACCCTCTCGGCCCTCGTGTGGACGGCACGCCTTGCCCTCCACACGTGCATCTGGCCATGCGGCCTCCGGGCATTCCACATGTGGATCCAGCCATGTGGTTCCTCCAATTCCACATGTGGAGCTGGCCGTGTGTGTGCGTGTGTTCCAGCTTTCTGGCATATCCTCTCGATCCCTGGACGGTGCTGTCACCAGAGGCCCTGGCGGGTCTGCCCTCGCGGTGCTGACACGGGAGTGCCTGGCGTCCTTGCTCCGATGCCCACCCTGAGCCCCTCGACACCCCTCCTCGGGCTCGCTTTCTACGCCCCCGAGCCGTCTTCTGACGGTCCCGCCGTGAACGCTGAAGGGGGGGGACCAGGGGTGTGCGGATATCATGGCTGGGGCCACGAGATCTCCAGGATGTCGTTCCCTATCTTCTTCTTCTTCTTCTTCTTCTTGTTCTTCTTCCTCTTGTTCTTCTTCCTCTTTCAATGCGTCCCTGGTCCCCCCTCGTCCGCGCACATGCCTCGGGTCATGATGCCCTGACCCCCTTCAGCCCCTCTTCCTGGCCTCCCTCTTCGGCGCACCAGGTCCCGGGGCCCGAAAACTACCCCCATAGGCTGACCAATCAAGGCAAGAGTCCCCGTCTCGTGTGCGCACGGAGCGCGGCACTCGCCGCTCGTCTGGGGAGCCAGTTGCCCCCAGGTCGTGCTCATCGGGCCAGCTGCTATCACCCAGAGGCTGCACTAGGAGCATGAAGCGAAACACGTCCCCACTGGTGATCCTTTTCTTGTTCCTTGTTTTGCCGATCGGCGCGGGCCCTCGCAACCCCCTCCCTCCCCCATGGAGCGGATCTTGGCTGTTTGTTTGCGCCTGTTGCGAGCAGGTGGGGTCTCCCCCGTAGGGTGCACTCCTGCACGCGGTCGCATTAAGCAGAGGCCCAGAGCCAGACCCCGCCCGCCCTCCCCCCCCCCCCCTTCCGCCCAATGTTGACGCGCCGAATAAGAAAACGCTTTCTTGTTCTTTTCAAGACTTCGGAGGTCCGGGGTTTGGGGCCCTCGGCCGCGACCGTGCTTCGCCAGTGCGCAGCCGCAGGGCTCGGTGCAGCTGCCCGAAGTGTACGGCCGAGAGCTATTCGTATGCGTTCTGCGGTCGCTTGGAGGGGGGGGGTTTGGAACCGGACCCCCCCCTGGATGGGGGGGGGGTTCGAACCCCTCCCCCCTTTCCGTGACGGAGGGGGGGGTTCGAACCCCCCCTTCCCCCCTACCTCTCCTCTCCCTCTCCTCGGCTGGTGGCGGCGGCGGCGGGGACGACGATTTCCTTTTCTGGGCCGGCGCCGGCGCCTGCGGCGGCGAGCGGCGGCGGCGGGGAACGTCGACGAGGACGGTGGTGGTGGTGGTGGTGGTGGTGGTGGTGGTGGGGGGTTGTGGTGGTGTTGGTGGCGGTGGTGGTGGTTGTGATGCTGGTGGTGTGGTGGTTTGTTGTGGTAGTGGTGGTGGTTGTGGTGGTGGGCTGTGGTGGTGGTGTGGTGGTGGTGTGGTGGTGGTGTGGTGGTGGTTTGTGGTGGTGGTGGTGGTGGTGGGTTGTGGTGGTGGCCCCGGTTTGTGAAGGTGGTGCTGGGTAGTGGTTGGGGGTGGTGGGTGGTGGTGGTGGTGGTGGTGGTGGTGTGGTGGTGGTGGGGCTGTGCTGCTGGTAGTGGTGGTGGTTGTGGCGGTGGTGGTGGTGGTGGTGGTGGTGGTGGTGTGGTAGACTGTGGTGGTGGTGGTGGTGATGGTGGTGGTGATTGTGAGTGGTGATGGTGGTGGTGGTGGATTTTTGTGGTGGTAGTGATGGTGGGTTGTGGTGGTGGTTGTGGTGGTGGTGGTGGCTGTGGTGGTGGTGGTGGTTGTGTGGTGGGTGGGCGGTGGTGGTGGTGGTGGGTTGAGACGGTGGTGGTGGTAGTGGTGGTGGTGGTGGTAGTGGTGGTTATCGTCGCTG